TTCGGTAGCCTGTTCCAGGCGTTCAGATAGTAGAGTGTGGCGGTCAGATGGTGGGGAGGCTACCACTTCAGCAATCTTTGTGTTGCTTCGTTTTGGGTTAAAATGAACAAATTGACCCTCGGAGGTCACAGTCGCTGTAGCCTGCACTGGAGACACTGGTTTTGTTAAACCGAAGGGAGAGAAAAGCAGTAAAACTAAGCAAAAAACTAACTTGCGCTTGCCACACAGGCTTCAGTTGCTAGCGGGTAAAAAGAAGTCGCATCAGGGACATTTTAGTGGAACGCACACCTGGAAGCACGAGTTTCCCACATCCGCGACTGCTCGGTAACACCCTTTAACATCGCCCCACCAACATTCTAATGAGTGGAGAAGCGAGGAGAAGCTGCAATCGTCAACTAAAATGCGAATTGGGATCCATAATGACTATGTTTCGGTTCTTAGCCCCCTTAACTAACAGGCGAGATTCGTGACTGGTGAAAATCGGTTTATAACCCACGTGATACGTGAAATTTGCCAAAATTTGTACGTGAAACGGGATCAAGACCCCTCCTTTGCTACCCTCATCATGGCATGGCCAAAATACAAATTTATTATGTTGGAACACAGTTTCCTCTATATCTATGAGATACACCTCAACTATGCTACATGTATCTCAAGGTTAATACTCGAAAAAATACTTACGGCACATATTTCTCCTGTCCATCTCTAGAAATCTCTTCCACTTCACTTTCCAGAAGACTTTCAATCGCGATGTCAACATCCAAGCGAGTCGCCATTTTGAAAGGAAGTAGTGACCCGCTGATGCGCACGCTCTTTATCGAAGACCTCACTCAGTGATATCACGGGCTCAGTTCATCTCAGCGTGCAAAACAACATGGCGAAATGACAGCTGTTTGAGAGGGCTTGCCTTCCTGGAAGTAAGTTTTAGACAGATTGGTTCATTTAATCCCCTGTTTCATGAAAGAAAACCACATGCCATCTGTTTTTCGCAGGTTTTTAAGAGATTCCTTCTATTTTCAGTTCCCCATGTTCAAAATTCGTACGTCTTATCTTGACGCAGGTCAGCTGGTTTCGGCAGCGTTCAACCCTGATACTTTTCCGCCTTTTAAAGAAATTTTAAAAATTTTAAGTCCGCACCCACTGTCTTATGTTTATATACAGTGAGAGAATTTTTACGTGTTTTGCCGTTTAATTTACGAATTTGCTTGGCTTAATTTTGTATCCGCGTCCCTTTGAAGAGCGGAAATGTGTATGCTGGTACCAAAGGTTTTTCTTGAAATTTTTCTTCGGGAAAGAAAGAGGATTTCAAGAAAAACCTCTGGAACCAGACTAGAAAATGTGATGTGAGTTTAAAGAGTCGATAAGGGCTTAAATCAATGGATAAATACTATCAAGCTTTTGAGAGTTATTGATTCAGGGATAAATCGGTTTTTTTTTTGTTGTCTCTGTATATGTGTGTAATGTAGCTGCTGATAGCGTATTCTTGGTGTAATCAACACACTTTTAAGACTTTTGTAAGATACTTCGGATGACGGGTAGACGATAAACCCTTTTTCATTTGAAAGATGTAAGATCGAAGATGTTGTGGTTTTCTTTCTGGTGCGATTTTGTTTGTGTATGTCCGTGCATGCATGTGCCATTCCTACTAGATTTAACAGTAAGATTTCTGTTCAGACCCACTCATTTATTATGCATAGCAGCAGTTTCATACCATTTCATACAAATAGTAAATTTGAACAGAGTCAAAACATGTACACATAATAAATGTATGCAGGTGTTTTGCAGAACACGGAACAGCCGCTGAACACCAAATGACTCTGATGTTAAGTGATTAGGGTCAGGAAACTGAGCAAATCAAGTTTCAGGTCAGTTTGCCCAGTATAATAACCCTAAATGGAACCTGAGTAACTCAGTTTCCTTACCCTAATCTCTTAACTTCAGAGTGATTCATCAGGCACTCTGGAAAATGCTCTTGCCAGGAGCTGTACAAAAATCTTTTGCTGCTCTTAGCTTGCCTGATAAAATTTCTGCAAGGTGCCATACACTACTAAGACATACCATACCCTTTTGTTATTTCTTAGCAACAAACAGCAAACATAAAGCCTTGATTTCATAATTTTGTCGGGCAAATCCCAGATGATAGGTGATTTTACTGACTTATGAAAATTTGTAGATATCCTCATCATATGGGATGATCAGGGATAATAGGGAGAATCGGAAGCATTTCTATCTTTCCTATGCATCCCAGATATCTGCAAAGGTTAGCAATCAGTCCTGACATATGAAACTTCAAATTCTTGTTGGGAATGTTGAGGATCAATGCTTTAGGTCCCAATCCTCAAACACCTTAGCTCTTACAGTCTTAGCTCTCGTATTCTTCCCCTCATAAATCAAAATGGTGTATGGGACAGACTGTTGGATTTTCCTGACATATGAATACCAAGCTTAGAGAGAATGGATTGTAATTCATCAGTGAAAAAATTAATATTTACAACAGTCCCTTGCTTAGTCTAAAATATTAGACTAATCCTCTTATAGATGGCTTTCACAGCGTCATCAAATTGTTAAGTCAAAATAGCGAGATTTTACGAATTCTTATTCACACTAAGTTGAAGACAAACAAAAAGTTAATCTTTGTACAAGTTTTCATTTCCATAGCATGTTTCATTTCGAAAATACAGCAATTTGAACTTTGAGTTTTCACAGTGCGTGACACCAAAATAGGAAATATTATGCCGTCTCGTGAAAAAAAGTATCTCCTCTTGATTTTCAGCAGTATAACCATTCCAAGTATTAGAAGATATTTTTATGCGCACGTATGCTAGTTCTCGAGTGAAGAGAAGGAGCTTTTATAGAAAAAGTATACTCCAGATGTTTTTGTTGATTTTTGGACGCCATATTGGTGCACCAAAACGGTGCACCAATATGGTGTCACCATACAAAGCTCTACAAATGTGGGTGAAATGTTTCGGCAAATAACTCAGAAACTGTGGGCCACAAAGGCCTGAGACTTGGACGAATTGTTTAAAAATTAGTCTTTAATAACATTTCATCTTCTTGGCTTCTTCCACTGGACAATTTCCAATTTTTTTTTTTTGTTGCGTGACAGTGAAAACGATCTATACAAAGGTGGTCAATATACATGACTGGAAAACATAAGAAATGATGCATATTTAGCCTATACACAGATGTTGTTTTATTTTTCTTTTTGTTCTTTTTAAAAATATCAGCGTGTGTGAGAGCGAGGCAAGCACGCGAGCGAAGTGAGCGAGCAAGAGCGAGTGCGAAGCACGATAAAGAAAAATAAATAACATCTATTTTCTTGTTCCCCCAACCCTACCCCGTTGCGCTGGTGGTCAATAAATCCCTCACGGTTTATTTTTAATCACGCGCACTTGACAGACTTTGAATAGAAAATAGAGGGCCTCTGAACAGGCTAATGCATATTAAATCAATCTTGCATTAGGTGAAGAAGTGAAATTTTGCAATAAAGAAATAATCATTGTAGTTCCTATTTAAGCAATAGTAACAGGTATGCGATTTCAAAATGAATTTTTTTTCAGTTTCTGCCTTAAGAAGCATTATGCATTATGCTGCTTTAAGCAGAAACTGGAAAAATGAAGTACAGTTCAGTTTGTCACTACACTGTTCTAGTATGTATATGAAGAAATGATCACCACAGTTATAATGAGCACAATGCCAAATAATATTTTGTGATCATTTCTCTATATAATACTATACATTCACTTTATTAAAATGCACTTTGAAACGTAGGTAGGAAAGACATGAATGACAGTTAATGACAAAAAGGCGGGAGTTTGACTTTCACACTTTTCTGTGTACACAAGCATGTTTTAGAATCTTCTTCCCTGTTTTTTTTGTTGTTGTTTTTTGGCTTAAAGGAAAAAACAGTAGTTGCTAGTAAATGGTATCATAGACTTGAGGTATTATTGCTATTGTACTTAGGGAAATAAATATTTATAGTTTATGTCTTTGATAAGATGGCAAGGTGACATTTTATTTGGCTCCAGTCTGTCTCATACCAACATGCACATGTAAAAATAACAATTTTCATCTCCACAACATGTAGGAAGATTTTACAATGTTGATAGATTTCTGGGGGTTTCTTTTGATTGCTGCATCATCTTGTGGCTTATAAGTATCAATATTGCCCTTTGAAATACACAATGCTAGAAAATACATCTTCGAATGATTGTAGCCAAACATGGCAGTATGAAATGCTCTGCCATTTTTACATCAGAATTCATGAAGGTGTGGTTTCTTATGAGACAAGAAGTACTTTGACTTGTATTTTTTCCAAGTACACATCAGCACACAGCACGAGCGTGCCATATTGGTCCTTATTTTTAGCCTTGACGTTTTATCTGTACACGTATTTACTTCTTTTTTTCTTTCGAATAAATGGAGCAAAGTCCGAAAAAATAATCGTTCACTGAGAAAAATCCTTAAATCTTGCGCCTTCCCGACATGACTGAATCATAAGTGAATTACTTGAATAAAGCACAAAGACGCGTACAAAGACTAGTTTAAATTCCCTAAGAGGCAAATATTTGCCACTATTTGTTCAAAATCTATCAAAACATGTTTAAACTGGCTATCTTTGTTATTCGTATGAGGCCAACATGGTGTTTTGCATGCACTTTTCAGGTTTTAAAAGCACACGAAACATGAATCCTAAGAGCAAATTGCTTTAATGGGTGACATAATTTGTTTTCTTATTAAATAGATGTCACGTTTCTTATTTTTTTTCTTTTAGAGACAAATCTATCATCGATTGCACACCGGAGATCAGTTTCAGAAAGCGATCAAGCGGAACCAATGGCGTGAGTGCAGTCAGCTGGGGCGTATCACGTGATCAAGTAAAATACAACGCTATTGTGTAGTTGATAATATTCAAACACGAAGTGAAATGAATTGACCGTGGCCTCAAATGTAAGAAAAATCAATTTCACACCCTTCCGATCAACGTTTTTATCGCCATGGATGGTTTGTACCTGAAAATAACACAAGAATTTACCCCTGACCCAAAAGAAGCGAGGTTCGGTGGGAAAGAAGCACCGATGGCGGTTGAAAAAGGTGATATTATTTTCGACGTTCGCAAGCTCGGGGATGGATGGTTGTGTGGGAAGAATATAAACAGCGGAAAAACAGGAAAATTCCCCGAAAATTGCGCGGCCAAACTTTCGGGAAGTAAGAATGGAAACCCTGAATCCGACAAGAAAGATGAAAAACCTGCTGAAAAGAAAGACTCAAGCAAGCCCTCGTGGCTTCAAACACGAGCGAGTTCCAACACACCTTCTGCCAAGAAAACGCCTGAATATCCTAAACCTTTCGCCGGAAATATCAGGAGGTCGAGATTGAATGACAAAGAAGAGAAAAAGGAAACTTCGGGAGATTCAGGAGTTGTAGAAGATTCACCTGAAGGAAATTATGACAACGCTCCCGATGAACCAAAACCAGCGAACCGCGACGCGTTGAAAACCGGAAACAATGTCAAGGACGATAAACAGAAGGAACCGAGATCCCTGGCGACAAATCTTCAGACAGATCACAAACAGAAGCCAGAAGCAGCCAAAAGGAGTGACCCAGTGAAAGAAGCGAAAGAACCAGTGAAGGCTGCAGGTAGAACTTTTGGATTAAGTTTGAGGAAAACTCGTGACGCTTTGAAACCGACGGAATCGGAAACGAAGGCAACTCCGAGTACAGGAACGAATGCGAGAAATTTCCCGCGTTCGACCCCCGCTCCACAGAAGGCTTCACAGGAGGATTTAGAAGAAAATTACGAACCTGTTGAACAGAAAAGCGAAGAGAAAGGGCCATTGCTGTCTAAGGTAACAACTAAAGCCAGTCAACCGAAGAAGGAAGCGAAAGCAGCTGACGTTAAGGCGGCAAGAATTAACCCGATCGATAACCCGAAGAAAGAAAGCGAGAAAAATCAATCAAACGTGACCACTACTGTCGCTGCTGGGGGCACCGGAGTGAATATTCAAGAAAACCCTCTCGGGAAAGACGAAGGCAGTATTTATCAGGTTCCTGGTGTCGCTGGCCCGCCAAAACCGAAGCGAAGTTTTCCGTCAGGTTGCTCCGAGTGTAACGAACCTCACATCTACGATACACCGATGCATTACCAAACGCCACCCGGGTCTCCGACCGCGGCTGACAAACGAGATGGGCGCGAAGCAAAGATCGAGAAACCGAAAGAGGCGAAACGAAAAAGCGGCTCGACAAGTCTGAAGCCAACATCATCAGTGATTAAGAAAACCAAGGAACACATAAAACACCGCATGGCTTCGTACGAGGACATTGAGTTAGAAGGTAGACGTTCGCAAGAGAGTTTGAAAGACGCCGAGCACACTGCTAAGCGAGAGAAAGAGAAGCTTCTCACACCGAAGAAGCGACCCAGGTTGCGCATTTTACTCGGCATACTTTTAGGTTCACTACTGGGTGTGTTCCTTTTCCTAGCGCTATATCTCCTGGCCAAACTGCACGTTCTCTTATGCGCCATTTCCGCTCTGATAATCAGCATTGTTGTGGCTACAGTGTTCGGGTTCCTCGACAAAACTCGATTGCAGTGCATCGTTCTTCTCATTTTCCCGAGCTTGTTTGCTGCAGGCGGAAAAATTGCATTGTGGTTGCTGATCACGTATTTCATAATATCAGGCCCGGTTTGCAATTTTATTAACAACGTACGAATTGTTGCTGTTAGTAGAGAATGCTTAATGAAAAGTGACAGTTTAGCAGACAATAGCAGCATTGATCCGCCTGGATTTGTCGCCGTGAATAACAACAATCGAGCCGTTGTACAGCGATTGCGGACCTACGAGAACCTCTCCCACTCACTTCTGAGTTACATTAACAACTCTTTGGCGTTTTCATCATCTGATCGGAATGATTATTTATCTGGACACGACAATTCGTCATCTGGGATCATTTGCATGAACGCTTTTCAACGTGCCCACAACATCTGCTCTTTCGAGATCAACAGTATTTATGAAGAATGTAACAAAACACTCGCCTCGCTGACAAAATGCGAGTTCATCACTGCAAAGAACGCGTGCGATCACTTATCAAACACTTACACGAGAAATACGTGTGACAACATAAACACTGTTAATATCGACACCTTGTTACATATTAAGAAAATAGTAGAACAAAGCCCCGAGAAAATCAAAACAAAAGATGATGTCACTGCTGTTACACCAGGAGAACTTTGTCAATTTATCCGGATTGTCGAGATACTTTTGCCATTACTATTATTGGTTTTATTTTACGAAGCGTACAGGTATCACAAGCTCTATCTCTCTTGCAATGAATTTGATAATCACTACCTCACGCTTCGGTTCAAATCCATCGAAGACATGCGCAAGTCGAGCGGCGCCGTTGACTTACTGGTACCGCTGAAGAAGGCTGAGCTTGAAAAGTTTGTTCAGCCCACTGCTTGCCGGCTGGCAAAGTCTGAGAAGAAAAACGTGCTGAAATACCTGCTAATTTACCTGATTTACTTGCTGTTTGCGCTGATGTTCATTTTACTAAATCATTTCTTCTATGTTGTAATCACTAACCGGGAACCGCAGTCCAATACAGCTGAAGAGTGTCATGCAAAACTGAAGAGTCCTCAAGAGTTTTACACCATCACTTTGTCAACTCTACTTGGAGTGTTACTGCTGATTATATTGCTTCAACCGTTCCCGCTTCGCTTGCGTCGCTTGATCTCTTCGCGATTCTACCCTAGAAGAGAGAAAAAACGCATTGCCTATCTGTATTACAAACTCCTCGAAAAGCGCAAGACGTTTTACAAATCTGTCATTGAGAACATGAATAACTTTTCAGAGGAAACTGAAATTCTTAATAGACTTGATGCAGTTTTGGTTCTCTGCAACAATTTTAGCTGGTTAAAAACAGTGCTGGAGTTCGTAGGAGTGAACATTCGCCGATGCGCTGTTTGCGGAGCAGGAGTAAATAGGAAGTATATTTTCTGTGATACTGAGGACTGTGACGTCATCTACTGCCGAACGTGTTTCTGGGACCTGGAAAATAAGTGTCTAGGTTGTATGAGTAGTAGCAAGATGACGTCACGATCGTCGAGTTTGAGTGGTCAATCACAAAGGAAAAAGAATGATTACGTTAAACCTGTGTAAAGCTTATGAGTAGCCAAAGACATTTGCAGATATTAATTTTGATCAAGTCGATATAATATAATTATTCCAAGGAGAGACTGCAACTTACTTGCCAACATTTAATCGAGCCAAAACTCAACATGGCATAGCACTTGTGCATTAAAGAAGTTTTATTGAATATTTAAGAGACGCAGAAACGCTTTTGTGTCCGTCCTAAAAGCAGAGTCGTCGAAAGCAACCTCTGAGAGAAACCTTGTTTTTATTCCACTGTTATTTAATGGTAGAGTTATAACCGTAAACTGAAATCATCAATTAAGTCTCGTTTCGTTACGTTGAAATTCACTGAGAACAGTCGAACTCTGAATATCTGGACTATTCGGGTCTGGAATAAAATTGACGAGATGATAAGAAATGTGAATTGTAATACTTAAATGTCTGACTTAGACGGAAATAAAACTGAAGGAATTTAAGCATGAGCAAAATGTTGTCTTCTTCAATGTTTAGTGTCTACTTCATCACTTTTAGGCTACTATGTTCACACTATAACCAGGTTTCGTACAGAGTCTTAAATTCTTAAAAAAGTCTTGAAATTTGTCCAGCTATTCTCCGGACCTGGAAAAAGTCTTGGACTAGAGATAAAGTCTTTAAAAAATGAAAAAAGTCTTGAGTTTTTTTAAAAAGGTAAAACTAGTGCTTTATAAGTGAATTTTTTTGTCGTTTTTGTCTAATTTTATTCAACCTCGCCCGTTTGTTAACAGCACACCACGAAAAATGCTTTGTTCCTGCTTTCTTAAGGTCTCTATTGATCACCTATTTGATAACCTTGAGTATGGAAAAAGAAACTATTGTTTTGAAAAGGGTCTGGAAATCGTCTTGAATTTTGGATCCAAGAAATCTGTGCGAACCCTTTATAAATGATGGCTTTTGCACGAAAAATCATACCAGATAGGGTTCAGTTCATACACAAGAACCAGGGCGGATAAAGGTTGGGCGGTGAAACGAGCGCTCCGCTCTTCATTTTTAAATGTGTGATGCGGAGTAGGACTGGCACGAGCGCTCTTTCCGCGCTTCCGGTGCGCTTCAAGGCCGGCGAAATTTTCCTTTTTGCAAACCGGAAATCCTATTTCCTTTCTGTGATTTCAGACTACAGTGTTAAATAGATAAATTCGTTTCATAACAGTATCAATAAACAGTTTCATATGTTTGTGTCTGTACGTCTATAAGTCAAACTTGTTGGTCGTATAATGCCAAAATTTGCGTTTAATTTCAAAGTGTTGAATACGTCCTCCCTCCACTAAATATCACCTAATCGTCTTTCGCCGTTTCGTTTGCAAAAGCTTAACACTTATAAGTGAATCAGATAGGGTTCAGTTCATACACAAGAACGGAGTGAAGCAGCGCCGCGTCGATCTCCAAAGTGGAGAATCACCAGCCTAGTCCAGAGGCGTTCTCGGCTCGGTCAATCCTGGACTCTACCGTAAGCTGTGACGTCACCCAGAGAGGTGGGGCTAGAGAGTCACATATCGGATAGTTCACACTATGTCAGGTACCGTAAAATTCCGAAAATAAGTCCCTCCATGTATAAGCCCCTCCAAATATAAGCCCCCCAAACCGGTAACGCAAAAAACACTCTGTTACATTGCCCCTCCAAATATAAGGCCCCCGGGGGCTTGTACTTGGAAAATTGCCCTCAACTACAATAAAGTAAAACAAAGCAAAAACGGTGAATTTACTTCCAACTATAAGAATAGCCCCATCGATTTTGAAACGCAAATTTCCCTCCGTAGATAAGCCCCTTCGAATATAAGCCCCTCCAAAAACAAGCCCCCCAAAAAGGGTCTTTGAAAAATATAAGCCCCGGGGCTTATTTTCGGAATTTTACGGTAGCTTTTCGTCTCGGCACGAAAGCTATCTGCTATAGTGTGAAAACAGCCTTAGCGTTTTGCAGGCGCCTCTTATTTTGAAGAGGAGAGTCAGTCTGTTCCCACTGCCGGATCCAGAGCTTGAGATAAGGGGTTGGGGGCACCGGTCATCCAGACCCTTAGATAAAAAGGAGAGGGCGGTCTCCCAAAAAATTTTTTTCGGCCCTTCGGCGGCTCTCAGTTTGGTCTAAAAATAAGAGGGGAACCGGGCCCCTCCCCTGGATCCGTCATAGATCCTTACGACATTTTCAGACCCTTTCCCTCTCAGAACGAAAGACTGAGTCTTGTACGACGTGTGAACGAAATCCTTTATTTGAGTGTGAATGTATTTAACACGGGAGTCTGGAGACGCGACCGCCATTTTACGTGGTCATTCGAGCCAAAAATAAAACCTCTGCAGCTGTACTTTCACATGGTAGTTCTTACGTTTAGTGTGTGGATGAAATCCTTTGGTGTGATGACCATTCCGATGAAACCTCCTTGGCACTCCTTTGACATGGTGTTATTTTAGTTTTCAACATTAAATTTGAGTAGTTTTCTTGCTGTTGCAGACGCCGGTGCAAAAAATTTAAAAGACACCAAACAATGCGTTAACGGTCGTAGACGATGACACAAAAGCCGGGGAAACAGTTGTTTACTCACCACGTCCCTTCGCAGGTAATTCTCAAAGACCTGCATAATAGCTTATGCAGCTAAACTCAGTGAAGTGCTTGAGTCTGAGGAACCGTTCCTTGACCGTTTCTTTCCAGGAGCCCACGTGAGAGCGGCGAAAATGAGCCTACAGGTAATTTTGTTATTTCAAAGGGTCTTTAATAACCAAAATCAATCTTGTTTTTTTATTATTTGTTGAATGCTACAAAAGGATATTATGAGTAGGTATTTGAAAGGGTCATAAAAGTGGTATCTCCAGATCTCTCTCTTTCCCTTGATATTACAAATCGAGTTGACCCTGGGGACGAGGCACCTCCTAATCCTGGGCCCGCGATACAGACCAGCGTCACCTAAAAATGGCGGACTGCGAAGCGTTCCAAGATCGTGAAAATCTTATCAATCTTTTTGCTTGTTATGGTAAGGTGTACGCCTGGGATGTAGATGATGTAATCAAGATGCGTTCACAGTATCGCATAGTTGGCTCTCTGATAGGATCGCTACCTCGCAAACCGAGACAAAACAATGCTTTCTCTTTGCCGCTTCTTCTTTCTCGAGAGGAAACCACGTTGCTGCTAGACAAAGGTTTCGCCAGAATCTTTTACATGCCAAGAAACCTACCGAAACCATCAGATGNATAGCTTATGCAGCTAAACTCAGTGAAGTGCTTGAGTCTGAGGAACCGTTCCTTGACCGTTTCTTTCCAGGAGCCCACGTGAGAGCGGCGAAAATGAGCCTACAGGTAATTTTGTTATTTCAAAGGGTCTTTAATAACCAAAATCAATCTTGTTTTTTTATTATTTGTTGAATGCTACAAAAGGATATTATGAGTAGGTATTTGAAAGGGTCATAAAAGTGGTATCTCCAGATCTCTCTCTTTCCCTTGATATTACAAATCGAGTTGACCCTGGGGACGAGGCACCTCCTAATCCTGGGCCCGCGATACAGACCAGCGTCACCTAAAAATGGCGGACTGCGAAGCGTTCCAAGATCGTGAAAATCTTATCAATCTTTTTGCTTGTTATGGTAAGGTGTACGCCTGGGATGTAGATGATGTAATCAAGATGCGTTCACAGTATCGCATAGTTGGCTCTCTGATAGGATCGCTACCTCGCAAACCGAGACAAAACAATGCTTTCTCTTTGCCGCTTCTTCTTTCTCGAGAGGAAACCACGTTGCTGCTAGACAAAGGTTTCGCCAGAATCTTTTACATGCCAAGAAACCTACCGAAACCATCAGATGAATTAGTTGGGAAGTTTAATGAGCTACGCAAAGAAAGTATCATCAAGCAAAATGAGCAGTTTAAAAAGATGCAAGAAGAAAAGAGAAAGGAACTAGCTGATGTTATAGCTGATGGCAAGAAAAGAAAACGAGAAAAGCTTGCTAGTGGTGGGGCAAAGAAGTCGAGAGATCAGAGTAGTGAAAATCAGTTCAATTTTTCTTGTAATGAAAGCAATGTGTTTGAACGAAATGATGAAGGGAAGGAGAAAAGTAAGCGAAAGAACGGCGAGGTTACAGTTGATCACGAAGATACCAATCTTGCAAAAAAGCTAAAAAGCGAGGAATTGAACAATGAGAGTTTTGAAGCCAAGGAAACTAGTGAGAAGAAAGACTTAAATCAGTCAAATGATAACTGTAAAAAAATCAGTCATGACAATGTAAAAGAAAGCTTTGAGGAGTCATGTAGCAATTCTATCTCAAAAGAAGCTAATGAAACAAACCTGACCAATGCAAATGTTGATCAAGAGATTCATGGAAATAAACTTGTGGATGAGACTGGACTAAAAACTACAAATGATTCAGATACTATTACCAAAGGACTAAACAGTGTTTCTGACATGGGAATATTGATACATATTCCTACGGTTATGCCGCAAAGGCTGCCTTCATTTCCACTTACAGACTGGACATATCCTCAAACAAGTTGCGAAAAGCTACGTTACCAGGTGTTTGTAGACCTTTGGGAGAAGGGATATTATTTAACATCTGGCATTAATTTTGGAGGAGATTTCCTCGCATATCCAGGTGATCCTATTAGGTATCACTCCTTTTTCATCATAATTATTGTTCCCTGGGGGAAGAAAATTACACCATTTGAGATCATATCAGCTGGCAGACTGGGTGCTAGTGTAAAGAAAACTGCACTTCTTTGCTCAGTAAGTGATGAAACTGGCCAAGTTACATACACATCAGTCAAGTGGAGTGGAATAAGCTGAATTTTAACACTTTCATTCATGGGAAATCATTAATCAGAACACTTCATGGAAAATCCCATAAGTCTATCATCATTAGTCTTTTCTTAGCCCAGTGGCACATAGGACAATAATAATAATATCCTTCAAAAGTACTTCAAGAGGTGTCATTTAATTTACAATGCCATAAAATTTTATTCAGAAAAGACTCCAAAGTTATAACCTATTTATACATTATTATTAGCAATTTTGTATAATTGGAAGTATGCACATGTGCACATTTTCGGTTATAGTAAAGGCTACGAGTCCTCAACTTCTACATTCACAAGATTTAGTTCAACTGTCGCTGCTTAGAAGGAGTGAAAATGATGAGTAACATTTATTTTATTGGCTCAGTTATGCTGTAATCAGAATGACATGCCTGACTACAGGTCGAGTGCGGTTTTATAATGAAAGGTGATCATAAGAGGGGCGGATTCAGGAATTTTTGATTAGGGGGATCCAAACTTTGGTTCAGAAGGGACTGTTGAACTTTATTGTGGCAAATTGCTCCTCCCCCACACCCCCTCCCACCAGTAACAGTTGCATGCGTATTATAATTCTTGGCCCCTTACTGTGTACTTGAATCACTGGATGAAAAAATGTATTTCCCTTCAAATTTGCTCATGTGCAAAAGAGTGCACAGTAAGAGAAAAATATGCGCAAAAGTGGTAAATGCCAAGTTTGCACACCCATTTGCACCCCTGTGTAAATGGTTTAGCACATTTGGCATTTACCACCTTTTACCCTTAGTTCGCACGCTTTTGCACGTGAGCAAATTTAAAGCAAATTCACTTTTTTGTCCAGTGAATTCTACTTGTAAAGAATGCACCCTTGGAACATCCTCCTCTTGTGCTTGGTAACAAAGATTCTCAGTACAGATTTCAGTAACATCATAGGAGGGTACCCATAAACAATTTAAATTTATGAATATCCCTGGAATTTAGTACAGATGGCAAAATGCAATGCGCGTTTCATTAAAAAAAATAGCCAGTTAATAAGTGATGTACGATCCTGTCGATGTAAGAATTTCAGTCTCAAACAAGCATCAGGTCTGATAAGGGGAACCCCCCCCCACCCCCCCCCCCCCCCACCCCACCCCCCCCCCCCCCCCCCACACACAAAAAAATTTTATATTTTAAAAACACCCTGGAATTTGAAAAGAAGGGAAAAATGAAATCGGGGTTTTTTAAAAAAAAAAACCCATTTAAAAAGGATGTTCCATCCTGTTGGAGTAAAAATTTTCGACCCCAAAAAACATCAGGGTTGATAAGGGGGACCCCCCCCCCCCCCCCCCCGGCCCTCCCACTGGATCTACCACTTCATGATAACAATATAAATTCCCTTGAAGTTGGCGGCAAATCTTTGAAAAGTTTTGAAGAGTGAAATTTCCTAGGAAAGAAATTTCTTACGATTGTGTTGTCATTGAAGGATATTGAACTAGGACTAAAAAGTACTATGGAAAGCTTTCCTTCCATTAAGCTGCAATCTGTAGCTGGTTGAGAATATGCTTGTTCCAGTCAAAAGACTGCATAGTTGTAAGTATGGGACCAAGCTTTCTGCAGTGTGGACAAAGTGACACTGAACTATTTGGTACCAGATTGTGAGTTTTTCATGGTTAAGTTCTAAGAAGAACGTAACACTCTTACTTGTACTCTTGGTTTGGTTTTGGAACCAAAATATTGGATCCTTTGTCAGTTGCTTAGGTAAAGCTGTTAACAAGAGCTCACCAAGAGAGCCCCAGTGCTGTAAACTAAACTTGAGTCAGCTATTTTTTTTCATGAAGCATACAGAATCCAGCTAGTAATGGATTTTTTGTTTTAGGCTGGGTCTTATCGTTTTCTTGCTCACTCTTTTTTTATTAATGGGTGTATGATGTTTCATTTCAGTGGGAAATGTTTCAGGAAAATTTTGAGGATCTTAAGAGTGGGCAGAATGAAGTGCAAGATTGGGCCCTGTAAAAAAACAAAGATTGTCATTGGAATTTTCTGGTCAACTTTACATTGATTTTGGCACTTTTTAACTGGCCTGTACATTAATTTGATGTATGGCCACTTTGTTAAATATAATACTTATAATGATATTGGTAAAAAGTAATATTAATAAATTATTTATTATTATTATTTATAATATTATTATTATTATATATATTATGATATTATTATTATTATATTAGCACTGTATCTCAAGTGTCTGAGAGTTTATTATGTAAACTATATTATTTTAACTCTCCAATAACACCGCTAAGTCAATACATTCAAAATTATCTGAATAAAGTAGAACCATTGGGCTGGTGACCTTTCTTTCAAAAGTTCCTTAAATACTAGTCAGGAAACTAGAGAAATAATGCAGCTTTTATTAGTAACCATCATTCAGCACTTGACAAGCAAATTGCAATAAATTATTGTTATACAACAGTATAAATATTCAACAAGCTGAAAAAGAATTTTATGCCTAAAACAAGGGTACAGACCTTACAGATATGATAAAATATTTATGGACAACATAAATAATTAAATTTTAATACAAATGTTTGCAATGCTTATGATCAAACTTCCATTTACATGTGTACTCTGCTGGCTCGCTCATAACTTGCTTGTGCTACCGCTGGCTGGCAAACACCGAATTCCGTCTCACACTGGCTGGGATTGCGTAATTTTTATTCTTTTTAACCTTGCTGGCTGGCAAAAAACCGCCAAACATGATTGCTGGCTGGGATTTCTATTTTTTGAAAGTCTTGCTGGCTAGCAGTGAAGAGCGGGTACTTTTTTCCCAGGAAAGTTAAATATTAACATAGGTTGACGTAAAAGCACTCTGCTAGCGTTTACGACATTGTGTAATCAATTTTGCGAAAAAAGTTCATTAAGTACTCCTGAAAAAAGAGTTAGCCAGGTCACTTTTACAACTGTTTGAGAGAGTGGTTTCAATTCATCGTGCCAATCAACACAAGACAGAAATTAAGTTCTGTTTTTCTTGTATGCTAAGGTGCAAACACAATAAGTTCAAGAGAGAAAGTTTGTACACAGGCAAACCGTCCAAACTGTTTGAGGCATCGTGATGTCACACATGACATGTGATCTCATACATAGTTAAGTTTGAATACAGCTGCTCTCTCACCTTGTGTTTGTGTTGTGTGTTTGACGTCTGTTTGATTCTAGGGCCATTTGTTTCTCGTCCGGATTTCTTTAAAAAGAGAGCCATGGGCACTTTTTCAATTTATTATTGCCAATTCTCGGTATTCTTTCTTTACAAATTATAACCCTCTCTCAGGGGTAAATTTGAGTTGGTCGATGTTAAGATATTAATGTTTTGATATTAGCGGTAATCGGTATTGAAACTAATGACTCTTGTTCAGTCTAAGTTTTCCAATAACAAATAACAGAAAAGAGAGACGGCCCCAAGAAATAAAGCGGGCCGGGACAAGAAACTTGTTTTTTTCACTTGGCCTATTATAAACTCAAAATCTACATAGTCCAGCGGATAAGTGCCATTTTAAAGGCTAATGACGTGCACTTTATGATAAAAGCATGAAACTTGGCACACTAATACTATAAATCATGGGGAACATTTTAAAGATTATAGGCAATCTGGATATGACCTTCGCCGGGGGGACAAGGGCATTTTCAAAATGGCCGCCAGCGAGAATCTTTAGTATAACAGAATTATGCCCAAAAAAGCCCAAAGCCTTTCAACTTTTATCAGAATCGAAATACTTGAATGTTTCAGGAAAATTATTGTCATTTTGAGGTGGAATTATGGGAACTAGATTCATCTAAATTGAGAGTATCGATTATAGTGTTTTGTTCCCTTCGTTTTGTTTTCCTTGAATAGGAGAAAAAGTCTTTAAACTTGTTTAATGTTTTTTAGGTACAAAGAGCAAAATGTTAAAAACATCCGGTAGCAGGAATAGCCGGCAATTTATTGAAAAATTTTACACTTGCTGTTGTTCCTTTTTTACAAGGCTGAATCCAAAAAGTGTTCTCATGTGCATGAGTTGTAGTGGGTAATTGGGTCTATTGTTTTGCACTGAGCACCACGTTGCTATCTTCCCTGCCATTCAAAATATTATGACGGTTTAATTATCAAATTTAATTTGGTGCACGACAAAATGAAGCCGTCTTTTAGAATCGTATCAGGCAGTGACATTGCTGGTTCTTCAAGTAATAGAAGCAACACCCGGGGGGGGGGGGACTCCGTATATGAGAGGGGTGAGGATGCTCGTCGGAAATTTTGAATTAAACCCCTGAAGTAGTCCGATCTGGGCGTGGCCCAAGCTTTTTTTGACCCCTAAAAGAGACCATGTTAAAACACAGACAAATGAGAAAACTTGGATTATAGGAATGGAGTAAATAAAATGAATTAAAAATATACATAACAAATATATATTTTTATATTTTTTCGCATGCAACCCTAAATGAGACCTTCACAGTTTTTCGTACCCCAGACGATTCTAAATGATTTGTAAGTTACAATAATAAGACTGTTATAATTTAACGTTTTTTTTAGCAAAGGCAAGCATCTTTTCTCAAGAAACCATGGACAGTTTGGGCAACCCATTTCCTTATACCAGCGGTGATCTCTTATTACAACAACAACTTTATTGACTTTATCTTTGACATGAAGATTTCAGTACCAAAACAGCTCAATGCAGAGGAGGGTAATGAATGCAGCAGTCATTGATTCTGTCCGCAATTTGAAAGAGCTGGGGGAACGTCAATACAACGATTTCTTTAACAGCCGACTCCAGTCACTGATAGGACACCGAGGAATAATTTGCCTTTATTCAGATGGCGTTCTGACAAGGCAAAAACCCGTAAGCAGGAACAGCTACTGGCCATGAAACGGGACCGGCATTTGTTTTCAAATTTTAGAGATCGCGAATCAAGTGTGAGATGATGATCTTGGAAGACACTTTCCAACACGAAACCAGTCGTCACTACCTTCAATATCTGACACAGGAAAGTTGAGAGTATCAACAAAGTCCGACCTGCTTCCATCCCTGAAAGTTCTTCTACTGCAAACCGACGAAGCGAACAGCTTATTAATTAGTGCCTGAAGTGGACATGATCGTTCTCGATGCGTAGCAATTGCAACATGCTCAAACCTGTCAGGTCCGATTCATTCCCTGAGTATGTAGATGAGTCATTTCATGAAATCTGTTCAGCGAGTCAATGTGGTATTTGACGAGTATAGGGACGCGAGTCTCAAGGATAAGGAGGAAGACGGGGACAGGTATGCGGATTAGAGTAGAGGGAAGAAGGAAACTGCCTGGAAACTGGCACCAGTAGTTTCCGCGAGAAGACGGAAACAAAGCAGAGCTGTTCAATCTTCTCAGTGATAACCAGGTGATAACGTAACAACAGAGACTTTTGCTGGTGTGGTGGTGATGACTCAAGCTGTCCCCTTGCATGCGTGAAGAAGCGGACACTCGGATGCTACTACATGCTGTCAACAGTACCAAGCAAGGATGCAGGAGAATCCTGGTAAGAACTGTTGACACAGATGTTGTACTCCGGCGCTGTCAGTACCGCCAAAAAACTGACAGGTGAACAGTTCATTGTGTCATTTGGAACGGGAAAACATTCCGGCACCTTGATACGACTCACATAGCGCAAAAGTTGGGCAAATATAATGACAAGTGCCACTTAATTATTACCTGCTTTTCATGCACTCACCGGGTGCGACACTACGTCAGGTTTTGCAGGAAGAGGAAAGCGTACAGCATGGTCAGTGTGAAGTAAGTTCAAGGATGTTACGCCACTCTACCTACACTTGCCCAAACACCAACAGCAGCATGCACACACAGATGAGATCCTTCCTACCATCAAGAAATTCATCATTCTGATGTTATGACTTAGAAATTCCTGATGACGGTGTAAACAAGGCCACGCAAACTTTGTTCACACAGAAAGTAAGGGAAATAGAGAACATTCTGCTAACAAAAGATGCCCTACATCAACACCTCAGGACTTCGAGCAGCATATCAGGCTGGTCATGTGTGGGGCCAGGCTCTAGCTCCTTAAAGCACTGCAACTAATATACCAAGCCCTGAAGAATTTGGCTGGAAACAGGAAAATGCCTCTGCCCAGAGTGGACGAACCTGCCCCTGCTGGTGCGGCGTGTTCTGCCGTCGCATGGTGTGGATGCGTTGAAGGCTACAGAGGGCGATGCAGATGTGTAAAAGAGAATTTGCCTTACCAAGAGAGGATACACTCTCTTGGCCCTACACATTGTTGTGCAAATGTGGTGGATTGCAGGGGCGTAGCCAGGATTTTTCAAAGGGGGGGTCACCATCCAGGGATCGCCGAGTATATATGGTTTATACCGCTGCTCTCCCTCGTGTATCAGTGGGCTCAGTCATATTATCGCGGCATGAAGGCCCATATTAACTAAAGACAAGAACCATTGACTAAAATACTTTACAAAAAAACAAATTTTAAAAAAGTGGGCTTTTCAACAATGGCTTTTACGGCCAAGATATTGTCATAGCATTTTCGCCACCTGAATATTGTAGGTTGTTTGCTTGAAAGAAGGCCTACCAAGGGGGGGTCACGGGCACCCCAGGACCCCCCTCCCCTAGCTACGGCCCTGGATTGTCAGTATCATGGATAATTTAGACAACAATGTGTCATGTAAGTGAGCCCCTATTAAAGCTTTTGATCATTGAACGTTAACACATTATTTAACGTTAATTTTGAGATGCTTTCCAGATAATGAAGGCTGACAAGGTAGTGTTCGGAAATCATTAATCTACATGTATAGTTTTAACCTTGAAACAACCGCGCAAACTCCCTAAGACACTTTCAGTGATATTTTGATGCTATATTTATTGATAATTAGCTTTGGTGTAAGTTCATTAAGTTTAAATCCAAAAATTGTCAGTTTGGCATTGTACCCAGTCATTTGATCCATGTTGTCGTAACAAACAATATTGCCAGCGGCTGTTCCCCGCCCCACCACCCCCCTGACAAAGGTCATATCTCGATTGCCTATAATCCTTAAAATGGTTCCCATGATTTCTAGTATTAGTGTGCCAAGTCTCATGCTTTTATCATAAAATGCACAATACTTTCACTCATCCGCCGGACTAATATTGTAAAACTCGACAATGGCTCGAGGTGAACTGAAAGTAGCACAACATAAACACATACACAAGGCGAGTCATTTTTCTATCTATCTATCTATTTCTTTCTTTCTTTCTTTTTTTTTTTTTTCAAAAAATGGACTTTAAAATCTATTTTTTTTTTATTTTCATACATTCTTATAAAGTATAAAATTCAACTTTCAGCGAACTCCGATGCCCATAGAGTCCGGGCTGCGTTTGTTATCTTAAGAATGAAGCCTAAAACTTGCACATACCTGCCGAAAAACTGAAGAATAGGAAATCCTTCACTCATAAATACATTGAAAATGAGTCAATCTGATCTTTTGTTGCGTATACATCCATTACTCTGATTACTTTGCGGTGAAGAAGACTCGTTCGAGGTCCGCCATCTTGTTTGTTATGGTGGTTCTACGGAGCCCAGTTAGTGCCACCTAATTTTTCTCATCAAGTTTCCTTTTCACGACGACAGTTTTCTCGGGCACGACCGTTGCGATGACCATGTGCTCCATGCCACTACAATAATATTGGTCAGCGGTCACCTGTCCTGGTCGTGCCGAAAACAAAAAGTCGTGCAGAAAAAAAAGTCGTGCCAAAAAAAAAAACGTGCCCAAAAAAAACAAACGAGCCAAAAAAAAAGAAGGACCAAAAAAAAAAGAAGAGCCGAAAAAAAAAAAAAAAAACAAAAAAAAAAAGACGGAAAAAAAAAAAAAAAAAAGAAAACAAAAAAAAAGGCCTACAAAAAAAAAAAACCGAGCGAAAAAAAAAAAAAAAGCAACAAAAAAAAAATAGGTACAAAAAAAAAAAAAGTGGACAAAAAAAAAATAAGTGCCGTTTTTTTTTTTTTCGCGGTTTTTTTCTTTCAGCACGGCTTTTTTTTTCCGCACGGGTTTTTTTGTCAGCACCAGTTCTACGTAGTACCCTAATAGTACGACGACAAATAAAAAGCGTCGGGGCAACAAAATTCTATAAATGGGTCAAAAAAAAAGGCGCATGTCACAACTCTTGCTCTCAAGGTGTGAAGTTCAGCGTGCAAAGTCTCATCAATTAAGTCCGTCTTGACTGAAAGGGCTTCGAATACATCTTTGGCGAGATTAACGTAATGGTCAAACATGTCTTGATCCAGCTCTGTACTGGTAGAATGACAAAGTGAATTTCTGAGGCGTCTCAGCTGGTCGATGGAGAGCGCGAATGTTTCATAGGGGTCTCCGTTTTCGCTGATGACAGAGCCATGAAACTGTCCATGAGGGACTCCACGCGGCTTCACATACAGCTCATTGAGTGTTTTAAGGTTACCCGTACCGTCTGGTGAACGGAAGGACTTTGCATAGAGTGTGGCTTGAAACAGCGCTGTACAATCCCACTCTTCATATGATTTTTGTGTAGGAATACCCTTGTTGCCGAATTCATTTCTGTGTAATAATTTTCTCACAGCATCGGAGTCGTCCCACTGATTCCGTCTAAATTTTTTGTTCCACATCACCTTAAAAGTTTGACGTAAGGCTTTGGGAAATTCATCCACGAAGATGATGCTAAACTTTAAGTAGTTCAACCGCTCCTTTGACTCAAGTCGAACCATGTTTTCGATTTGTCAGATTTGTGAACTAGAACACCTCAGTTAAATCTAAAAATGGATTGAAAAAACATTTATTTAAAATAGTGTTCTTCTCACTTTGACTTTCGTCGTACCAATTAAGAACACAGTAACACTAACAAAGACAAAAATGGCGTCTTCAAACATTCGAAGACCTACAACGTAGGTATAGGTTTTTAAGTTTGTGAAGAAACGAACGAAATAAACCATACCAAGTCACTTTGCGAAGCGGTTGATTCAAACTGACGACCAAATTTTGATATAGTGGCAAAATTCTCGTGGACCTGATCCCCAAAACGAGATTTTTAAGACTTGCTGACAAAGAAATGGCGAGGAGTCGTTTAAAAACGGAAGAACTGCTAGAACTATTCGAAACTGAAACAGAAACGGGAAAAACCCCACATTCCTAGAGGTAAAGATCATCAGTCCGGTGATCTTGTAACGCTGGTTGGTCACGCCGTCGTCACGTTTCAGTTCTCTCCTGAACTGTACGTAGGATTTGCTCAACCTCTTCCCCAGGGCTTTTCCCTTTTCTGGGGAAAGCTGGGATTTGCTCAATGGGTATGGGTGAAAAAAGGCTGAAATGGGAACGGGAGAATGATGTCTTTAAGCTTGTGTCAATAATTCCCCGATCAGTAGTGTAATATATCAGAGACACGGCATTTTTTAATAGTGTATTCATTAGGTCATTGAGATTTTTTTTTTTCAAGAAGTTTTATTATATATGGCCAACATGCAGGACGTGCCGCAAAGAGGCGAAGTAAGCGAGTGATCAGCGGGTTCATTATTCAGCGGTCCCGAATCCCGATTGGATCGGCTTCGGCTCTGGGGTCCCGAGTTTCAGCCACTTGGCCAAAAGACCAGCAAACTAAAGACGCCTTCGCTTGAGTCTCAAAGATAGAGGTATTAGTATCCCATGAGTCTCTCAGGCGTGACATGGTCTCTCCAGCTGATGTTTTGTACTTTTCTCATGTCTTCTCAAACGGTTTCAGTATGGCAGTCGTCGAGAATACACATAAACCTGGCAGACCCCTAATGGACTTTAGCCTTCTCTTGTTGTGGTGTTGGACTGATTTTGCTCTTTGTCTACTAATTATTCATTTCATATTTCTATTATAACAATCTCAATGCAAGATCCAGTATTTTCCAATTTTGCAGAATTTTTGACACTCCCTCAACCGCGTTCCCAGGGTGCTTTTCCCTGGCTTTGGAGGTGGAGACGAGGTTGACATTCCTTCCTAATTTTTTCATTGAAAACAATCGAAAATCATCCAAAAATTAAAAAAGTTTAACAATTATTGGACCAATGAATTCCTCGAGTGATTTATTCAATGAAATCTTGGCTATAGGTATTTCAAGGAAAAAGGTTGACACAAACGAGAAAGGAGGCTTTTTACCCTTTTAAAAAAATTAGCTTAAAACATGGAGCTTAATTCCTAGCAAACATTCATGCTCGAAATCAGCATAGGTTTAATATACAAGAACGTCGAAACGACTGGCTACTTATTGAGAAAGATATTTTTTATCAGGCAGCGATGATACAGTAGCCTGCGTTGCAGCCGGACTTGCTAAAAGCAATTGTAAAAAATTAAGAAACTTTTTATTTTGTCTTTTTGCTTCAAAAGTCCCTGGCTGAAAAATTCTCCATGAGCCCGCTTTCTTTTTGCTTGATCGAGGGGTCTTTTTTTCAAGAGGGGGTTAACTAAGTGAGGATTGACGGTATCATGCATGCACATTAGCTTAAACCCAAAACATAGATGAAATGCATCCTCGACTCTTATCATCCTCGGGAAAACGTCTTACTTAAAATCTTAAACAAGGCAATTGTAAAGCAATTTAAATGTTGCACAATGTTCTTTGGTCCTTCTACTTCAAAAGGCCCTGGCTGTGCAATTAGCTATGAGCTCTTTCTTTTCGTCGGTTTCATTTATTTCTAATCCAGCTAGACAGTCAGGGTGTCCCCCAAAATCATCGCAACTGAATCCGTAGAAAATTGGTGCGAGGCAATACGAACTCCAGAAATTATGTCTACAGCATAAATCATGCTGGCAACATCCAGTGTGGAAACAGCAATCATTGCACACCCAGCTCCAACAGCTGCTTGCTCTGCCACACATTCCTAACCACTTATCATTATTTGGGTCATTCTCCAAGCTGCGACAGGATCGCTTCTGTCTGTTATGATGGGGCTCAGCAGTTTCTTCTTTCGGGTCATTCGCAACCCTTAACTCACTGGGGATCTCTATGTTGGCAGCCTTGAATAGGCTGAAACACAGAGAATGAAATGGCTCCAGGATCTCCGGTTGACTAGAGTTGTCACTTAAGGCTTTAGACATACGCTCTAGAAGCTGAATTTCAGGCATGTAATGTAGCTCGCTCACGGCCTCTTGGTAATGGATTTTTAAAACCTCGAGTTCGGAGAGCGTCTCCTCAGTGGTGCGCTTCAAAGCCAGATACTTTCGGACCTCCTGTGACAAGCTGGGAACAGCGTCAGGAACGTAAATTATCTTCGGCCCACGCCTGAAAAAGGGAATAAGCAAGCGATTTCAGTGAAAAGTTTAATGAGGGTCTCAATGGGGTTAACCGATAGGCGTAAAACGGCCAAAAATTTAGTCGATAGCCGTAAAAATTGAAAAATTTTAACCGTTAGCCGTAAATAGGGTAAAAAAGAGTTAACCGTAAAAGAGATTGTTCCCTAGATTTGTTAATTTTAAGGAAGTTGCTAAGCTCACTTATGGTTGGGTTTTTTTATTTCCCGGCTACTTTGACTTCGTACGCACGTTAAGCTAAGCGTCTTTTAGGTGTTGACAAAGACCTGGCTCCATTTCCGCTGCTCTCTCGAAGAACCAAGTTTTTTCCATGGCGAAAATCTGGCTTCTTGCTGGGGATTAATATTTGTGATTTTCAGGAAGTCGTGTCCTCGAAATACTAGTGAAACAACACGCAGAGATGTCACTGTTTGTAAAACACATTGTCCATAAACAACAATTCCAAGACCTTTACTTTGCTTTTAAGATAGAAAAAAAAACAAGTTTATTAATATTTAACTCTTTGAAACAAAAGAAATTAATTTTCAACTTTTTTGTTAACCGTAACTGAAAAAAATTAACCGATAGCCGTAAAAGAGCCAAAATTTTAGCCGATAACCGTAAAAGCCACCACCCCATTGAGATCCTCTTTAATAGATGACTGTGAAAGAATGTAGTTATGGTTGATAGCTAGACCCTGATTCTAACAGGTGTTCAAAACTAAAACACGGGCAAAAGTAGCTGTCACTCACCGGCAACATACAACTTTTATAAGCCATACTTATAAAGTTCCCTTTCACTTACATCAACCTAATCTCTCCACATTCCTTTAGCCCCACGAACTGACCACCAACACTTTGAAAGATTCACACTTTGTTGAATAACTTTCAAAGAATCGAACAAAAATATATATTCCGGCATTTCTGTTTCTTAAACACTCTAAAAGCGATTGATATCTAAAGGGTTACGAGAATGTAGTAAACTAGCAATTGAAAGAAAATCCCATTTGATACCAAATGTAA